AGGAAAATAAATATTAGTTCTAATTTCCTACATTAAACTTTTTCAATAAAAATTTTAATTTGCTGAATATTATAGCCAATATATTCAACAGTCACCAAAGAAAAGTTTTATTTATGTTATAAGAATGCAAAAAGCACCACCTAGTGGCCAGTGGTTCCAATAAACAAAGGCACAATACTCTGCCACTCTTAAAAAGGTAAAACAAGATTGCCTCCTAGAGGAAGCAAGACCTTTGTTCCAATTAACTAAAACCCTAGATGGGTTTTTTCCTAGATCTTTTTGCCCTCCCCCCTTATTTTTCCCCAAATTCCATCTGAATTATCAATATATATTTTTAAAAAATGAGAATAAAGAGAGTACTGCCTCAAATGATTACTTGGGGGAAATTACTCAGTTTTATTTTTTAGTAACATTTTAAACTTAACTAACTTTAATAAACCCAGTTATTAAAATAGCTATTTTAATTACTTACTATTTTATTTTATTTTTTAAATATATTTTATTGATTTTTTTACAGAGAGGAAGGGAGAGGGATAGTTAGAAACATCGATGAGAGAGAAACATCGACCAGCTGCCTCCTGCACACCTCCTACTGGGGATGTGCCTGCAACCAAGGTATATGCCCTTGACCGGAATCGAACCTGGGACCTTTCAGTCCACAGGCCGACGCTCTATCCACCAAGCCAAACCGGTTTTGGCTTACTTACTATTTTAAACAAAAGTTTTTAAATCCTTCTATGAAATAACTACTATTTCTTTGAACAATCAGTGTTCATAATGGATTGGGTAAGCACAGACTAAATCACAGAAAACTGCCTGTTAGCAATGCATACCTTTCGAAAGCTCAAAACCTTTTTAGTTCTATATTCTTTTAAAAGCAAGACAGCTAAAGGATTAGGCTTTAAGGCTCATATCTGCTTTAATACGATGGCACAGCTAACAGGAAACTGTCTAATAGGCTTAAATACCTGAAAACAAGGATAAAAACACCTACTTGAAAGTACAGTACTAGAAAGATTAAAAAAAAATTGGCTAAAGCTACTGGAGAGGGAGGAAAAAGAGCCACCGTGTTAAGAACAGTAAAAACTTTATCTTCTTTAAAAACACCTATTTGACTGAAGAGCAGAGGGCCTAAAAAGAGCTAGAACCATATTTTGCTTAAATTGGATGGTATCTGGTCTAGTAATAAGCAGCTTTCAAAAGCCTTTGAAATCCGAAGAAAATTTGTTAAATCCAGGCTCATTTCATGGCTATAAGATTTCAGGCAAATTACTTAAAGTCTCTTAGTCTCACTTTGTACAAATATAGTTAACAAACTTTGCAGGGCTGATGTGAAAATATGATATATGTACTAAGCTTAGCATACAGTACATGTTCAATAAAGAGTAGTTATTAATATTAGCCATATTCATTACAATGAATAATCATATGGAAAATCAATCCTGTTATGAGAGAGTTAAAGCCCATGATAGATACTTTCTACAACCACCCTGCTGGTTCCATCTAGCTAACTTAGTTAATCCAATGCTCTAGAAAATCTTCCCCTAATCCTTGACTCCCTAAATTTAGTTATGTTTCCTTCTGAGCTATCACAGCACTCTGTAGTACTCCATCCTTCATAGCATTTATCATAATATATAATCACTTGTTTTTTCTCTCTCCTTACACAATAAACTCTGAGAAAACAAAGGCATTATCTATTTTGTTCACTTGTTCACTACACAATTCCCAAAGCCTGGTTCATAGTAAGCAATATATAATTTTGATTAAGAATATGGGCTTGAAGTAACAGACAGATCCTACTTAAAATCCCAGGTCTACCTCCAACTAGCTAGTATTTTGGAAAGTATCAAGCTCTCCAAGTCCATTTCCTCAGGTGTAAAATAGAAATGGCCACAATACCTCCCTTGCAGTATTGTCAGGAGGCGTAAATGAAATAATAAATATGTAGTTCTTAGAAAAGTACCTGGCACTCAATAAATAACTTATCCTATATAATAAAGAGCTAATATGCAAATGGTCATCACGCCCTCATGCCATCATGCCATAATGGCTCAGACACTCAACACTGGGAAAAGAGGAAGGGGGGACCAGCCAGGCACAAATGAGCTCTCGAGAGGAGTGGGGACCAGCCAGGCTGCGGCCGGGAGAGGGACAAGCCACCCGCCCCATGGTCCCGGGGGGCCAGAGGCTGGGGCTGGGGCCCGGGAGAGGGACAAGCTACCGCCCCGCGGTCCTGGGCACCTGTGGCTGCGGCCTGGGCAAAGCCACCCACCCATAGTCCCCTGCAGCTACAGCTGGCCCAGGAAAAGCCAGCCTGGATCCTGGGTGCCTGTGGCCAGGCAGAGGGAAGGAAGCCCGGGTCCCAGGTGTCTGCGACCGGCCGGAGGAGGGAATCCTGGGTCCCGGGTGCGGGGCAAGGCAGAGGTGGTTAGGGGCGATCAGGCCAGCAGTGGAGCAGTTAGGGGTGATCAGGCCGGTAGGGGAGAAGTTAGGGGCGATCAGGCTGGTAAGGGAGAAGTTAGAGGCGATCAGGCAGACAGACAGGCAGAGGTGGTTAGGGGCAATCAGGCAGGCTAGCGGTTAGGAGCCAGCGGTCCCGGATTGCGAGAGGCAGTTGGACAACCCCTGAGGGGTCCCAGATTGGAGAGGGTGCAGGCTGGGTTGAGGGACCCCCCCCACCCATGCACAAATTTCATGCACCAGGCCTCTAGTCATAATAAATATTTGGGACTGGCAGGCATGGCTCAGTTGGTTGGGTGTCATTCATGCATGGAAAGGTTGCTGGCTCAATTCCTGGTAAGGGCACATTCCTGAGTTTTGGGCTAGAACCCTGGTTGGGAGCATGCAAGAGACAGCCTATTGATGTTTTGCTCTCACAACTATGTTTCTCTCTCTCCCTCTCCCTTCATCTCTCTCTTTAAAAAAATATTTAAAAAGTAGTAAAAATAAAAATAATAAACATTTAACAAACATACAAATGTTAAGGGCAGGCTAAAACCAAAATACTATCAAATAGAGCAAATAGGATGTAATCAATGGATTAATTAAAACCTAGCAGGGGAAAAAGTCTCTGCCAGTGAAGTATGTGGTTCTCTATTATTGGTTAACAAATTATCAGAGGCCTAAAGACCTAAAAGGCTCAGTATCTAATTTAATCTATTCAGAAACATAAGATAAGTTGAAATTCCTATTCTTAGGCTTAAATAACAATTATAGAAGAACAAGATGGGAAAAGACTGACAAAAGAGCAATATTTATAAAAAGGAATTCAGAGTTTTGTTATCTCTAATCTATATAAAAGAGACACTGACCTGACATGGCTAAAAAGTGTATACATTCTTGGGCAATGTTAGTAGAAGGACAGTGAGAATTTATAAAAAAAGAGAGCCATGTAAGTATACACTGGCTCAATAATGTTAGATTCTAGGGTTCATTTTAAGCATAGGAGACACACTGATACATTGAAATAAACCCATAAAAAATAATTAGAATGATGAAAATGTTTGGAAATTAGACCAATAAAAAAAGTTGAAAACCCAGAATGTAAGACTGTAAGTGAACTATCCAAACAGGATTTAAAGGTTTGAAAGGTTGTCTTATGTTCAGGAAAAGGAACAAATATTTGTCCAATGCCTTCACTATCCTAAGTGTTCTTCAAATCATATCTAATCTTCACCACAATCTTGTGAGGTATTATTATTTTGAATTTAGTAATAAAACAAAAGAACTACTTACTATTAATAATACTGAGCTACTGGAATAATAAATAACAAATATGTAATTCTTAGAAAAGAACTACTACAGAGAATAGAATGAACATCACTAGGTGAAAAAAAATAATGCAAATGTTCATCAATAGCAAAAGGATAAACTGTAGAATGTTCAACAGGATAAAGTATTAGATAGCAAAGAGAATAAAATGAACTACATCTATATACAAGAATGCAGAGAAATCTTGCAAACATAATGTAAAGTCCAAGAAATCAGACACAAAAGAGTTCATTCTCTATGATTACACTTATATAAAATTAAAAAAAAAAACTAGTCCATGAAGTAAAAAGTTCAGATAGTGTTTGGCAGTAGAAGATGGTGAGGAGAAGGCAGCTGGGTAGTGAGGGGATGAGAAAGAAGGACAGGTGGGGCTTCTAAGGTATTGGTAATATGGCTTCATTAACTGTGCAATTTTTCCTTTTGTGATAAATGGGCTCTCTAAATTCTTCCAACTCTGAAGAACAATTAAAATCCCATGTCACATTTGCTAATAGAAAAGAGTGATCTTTTTATACTTTATACCAATCATTAATAAACAGTATATAACATTAAATATGAATATTTTACCCTATTGAAGTAGTAAGCTACCAGACACAATATTCCTAAACCGTCTTATAATATGAACATGAAGAATATACAGTTTACATTAATTGAGCTTAAGATTCATAAGCTTATTTACCCAGTTTTTTAAAAATGTTACTTTATAACTTCATCAAGTAACAAGCTCTTGAGACTTCTTTGAGTATATATTAGCCATTTCTTTCTCTCTTCCAAGAGATAATCCCAATTCTAAATACTCAAATATTCATTTGTTAATAATCATAGCCACTTCTACCCCCAGCAAGTCCCATATGCCACACAAAGCCAGGCCAAACACATTAATGATTAGCTGCAACTTTGGCCCGAAAGTCCTATATCCCTACTATCTCAGTGTTCAGTTCTCAAACATTCCTGCCATGTAGCCTAACATGTAGCATCTATCCCTCCCACCCTCTCTCTAAGCATGCTCTTAGATGAGGATTTTAAAAAATGTATATAGTTAAATGTAGAGAATACGAACACTAGCTTAAGTAAATTGGTTTTAATTTCAGTTCCTGAACTTATTTCTAAATAAAATCTTATGGTGAAAAGGTAAAAGTCCAATTGAAACAAGGCTGGGGACTTACAGCCTTACATGTTTAGCTTCCCATTTGTTCCCCAAGGCATTCCGTGAGGTACAGAGTTTGAATCTCCTACAAGAGTAATTCCAGCCGAAACCGGTTTGGCTCAGTGGATAGAGCGTCGGCCTGCAGACTGAAAGGTCCCAGGTTCGATTCCGGTCAAGGGCATGTACCTGGGTTGCAGGCACATCCTCAGTAGGAGATGTGCAGGAGGCAGCTGATCGATGTTTCTCTCTCATCGATGTTTCTAGCTCTCTATCTCTCTCCCTTCCGCTCTGTGAAAAATCAATAAAATATATTTTAAAAAAAGAGTAATTCCAAATACTAAATTATTCTAAAACATTATACATTAAAATGCCATTCTTCTTTTCTCATATAATTTTAAAATGAGAATTACTGGTTTACTATTCTTTATAAAGCATTAAGAAAACAAAGGAGATTTTTAAAAAGTAATGATGCTTACCAACTATACATAAACAGATTTCATTTCCCAACATTTTCCGCAATTCTTTGACCCAGTTTTTTACCTGTGTATATAAAAGAATTAATATTAAAACAAATTCTGTTACAAAACTATCATTACAACACTCCAAAATTCAACAATGTCAAAATACCTCAGC